GCCCTGCACGCTGCACCAAGGAAGCTGAGGAGCCTGAGCCTGCCAAACCAGCATTCCCAGCTGAGGCCACTCACTGCACACAGGTAGAGGTTTGATGCTCTTCTTGAGCAATGTGAGGCTCAGAAACTAAATTCCAGCATCAGGGTTAGTAGAAAAGGGACATAAAGAGCTATTTACTTATGTTAGTCACCAAGTCTTTTCTCTCTTTATCAGAGGAAGATTTTAAATCACGTTTGTTTTCTCACATGGAGAAGATATTAATTTTAAAAATTGAGAGTTTCTTTCCCAAATTTGTGAGTATTAGAAAGTATTCCAGCACTCATATACAGTTTAAAGGGAGACACCTAGTTTCTATAATTCTAGCAACTCTCTAACTGCAAACTTAGATGCAATACTACAGACTTATTAACAGTAATACCTAATTGAATAGACATGAACATCTTCCTTTTTCCTGAAGAGTAAAGGTTTCTGTTCTCAGTACCATACTTTTGTACTGATACAAAGAATATTTTTCAAATATAAGAAGAAATATTATCTCTTCTAGTTCTGCAAGTCATCATCCTCCTCCCTATCAGATAAAAATCAGGAGAATCCTATTTTCCCTTAACATAATGGTTTCCCCTTGTTCTTCCTCCTAGTAAAAACTCCCACACAAGCATATTAGTATATGCCTCCTTATCTTATAACTGGGCAGCAAGATTTATGAACAGGTAGGAAATGAATACATGAGGTCAGTAGTGATGAACTGCTGCTTAAGGTATATGAGGTACACAGACATCCCTGTCACACCCACTCCCAAAATATCACTCCTGCACCCATTTCAGATAGTTACTGTATAATAATACTGTATAAATAGTGACACCATTTTCCATATTAAAAATGCAGAGGAAATGTAGTCCTTTACTGCTCAGTTGATACAATAAATATTAAAGAAATTGTTTTTCAAACCTTACTCAGGCTTTTACTGCTCATTTCTGTATTTGGGATTGCCAGAGGGACTAATGGCCCATCTCTCCCCTCCCTAGACACCACAGACACACCACACCCCCTCCAAGCTCTGTTCTGATGGTTTATTCAGATGTTGGCTAATTGTGGTTATCTGGCTTCCAAGTGCTTGAAGCACTTTTGGCATCAGGATGAAGTGACATCCGGGAACATTTAATATGTTAAAAAGGCCAATCAGCACAGATTAATGCAGTAAGCACATGCCTCAAGGAGAGCCTGTTTACATTCTTACAGTGTAATAAAAAAAGTGCAGAGGAGGACATAGGAGTAAAAGTAAGATTTTCATACAAGTCTTACCTGAATCCTTAAAAAAAAAATGTGTGAAGGAAATGGCATAACATGACACCTTAAGCAAAATATCAAGTTAAACTAATACTTGTCTGCAATGAAATTGGTAGTAAGGAAGTTTTAAGAAACCATTGTGTAAGGAAAAGACATTTACAGGGGTAGATAATTGACATCAATTTTAGCAAAATCACACATCAGCTCCTTTTTTCAGCTCCTTTCTCTCTCACAATGCATCTCAGCTCTTCACTCTAGTCTTGAATGATTTCAAAGAGACTGTTTTGATGTGGTTCTTTTGAGAACGAGCAAACTATACATAAGATATTTTTAGAAGGTAAGCAACATTCAGTTTGTCTGCTAGAAGTCTAGGACAAAAAAGGATTCTTTTGCAGTAGTGTTCATCAATTATATCCTGATATTTACCTACAGAAGATCACCATTTATTTTAATTTATGTCTCATTTCCTTCTTACATATTTGAGAATACACTTCTTTTGTCAATAGGTTTGGATGCAAATCTGGAGACAATCTGAACCACCTGGAACCCTTCCACAGCCCCAGAATTTGTCAGACCATTCCCTTACTTCAAGCATGTTTAGATCAATTTCAACATTCAACCTGTATCTTTCTGTGGCTTTAATTTAGATATGACTTGCTGTATTTTAACTATGTATTACTGGAGACAGTTACTGGAATTTCTAAATTCAGAAAGTCTCCAGAGGGTCCCTTCCTCCCTTCCTAACCCAGGGCTTGCTACAGGTAGGAGGGAGTCAATCATTAACATTTGGGGTAGTCAAAAGGCATTAAGTATAAAAAGAACTTGCATATATTTACCTCCAGAAAACCTGTCTCCTATTCCATATTCAACAGGCTGCATTTTATTCAACTTACATACATAAACTGGTACTGTGTGTACTTACTGCTTTATGTCTTTGAGGCTTGGATAAGTTCCATTGCAGAAGAAAAAACAATGGAATTCTTTGCAAAAGCATCATATGTTGCAGAAACATGGGTTTAGATACCACCTAAGAGACACTACCATTTCACTGAAATGGTTTGATTTAAAAAGAATCCCAGCACAGAAGATGTTTTGCATAAATAATATGGATCTTGAACCAAAACACCTCCCTCATGTAGCTTTCCAGCTATCCTCAGCAAACCAAAGGCTTAGACTTCATTACTGCACTGACACACAGCATATGTTTTTTTCCAAAGTAACTGAAGATTAATATTTTAACCTAAAATTACTAATATCTCATAATAGTTAACACATTATACCCTTTAGGAACTATAGAAGGTTAATGAGTTAGAAGAATCTTAAAAATCCACCTGTACCAATGCCCTGGCCCTAGGATTGCTGTTTTGTGTCCATCTGATACACCAAAGTATTACTGTATAAACATGTTCCAATCATTAAGTAGCTTTGCCAACATCTAATCTGAATCTCCCTTTAAGCCCAAATTCAATTTACAGAGGACAACAGTAGAAACAACTAAGCTTTCTAGATACTTTTAGAGTGTTTTGTCCCTCTTTAGGTCTTTAAGCCTCAGTCTGTTTTGAGTGGTCTTTAAACCTTTTCTCAGAATTGCATATCAATACATGTTGATTTGATTCTTTTTTTTTTCTTCTCAGAAAGAGCCATTTATCACCAGGATGGCAGGCTAATAGGTTTATAGGCAGATAATATCATTTGCAGTCTGGGATTATAGGCATTTGGACCTTTCAGGATAATTAAAGGGGGATTTAAATCAAGAAAAGTGAAGTATTCCTATTCTAAAGCTAATCTGTAACTAGTTCCAGCCTGTAATTCAAGTGAGGCCTATGAACAAAGAGAAGCTAAACATAAAAGGAGGAAAGTATGCTAATATTGACTTACTGTAAAGCAATAAAGTAAAGAATTCAGCAAAGGCACTATTGGAAAAATCATTTTAAAAATAGAATGAGGAAAAAATATTGAAATAGTAACATTTCAGAGGCCTTGTCAACACAGTGAGGAGATGGTCATGTTACATAGATGCTACTGTATGTTTGTTATTTAGGAAGGCTTTTCTGCATCAGTGAACTAGAAGATGAATTAATTTTTTTTTTGCACGGGAATACCAGCCTCAGTCCTTGGAATGCAAACTTTATTTGGAAATGGTTAAGGATTCCACCTGTATTTCACAAAACACATTAGCAGATGCCCACTGGTAAAGCAGGATGTCATACAATCAAATAGTTGAGGAGAGTCTGTTCACTACCCTATACTCTGCGTGAGCAAACATTCCTGTGCTCTTTACAGACATGAACCAGTAACTCCACATGGCATTTTCCTCTGATAAGCAAACACATCAATTTTAGCTATTACATCCCTGGGAATCTCTGAACTTAATTCCATCACACAGAAGATACTGCAGCACATTTCCTTCCAAAAAATTAATACCACCAAAATTAGTTCTTGTAAATTAATCCGTGCCACTCAAGTACTACGGAAAAAAAAAATTTCAGCCTCAGGACACACAAACCACACATTCTTTTTGGAGTGGAGAGTGCAGGCAAGATATGGCTATGAGCATGTGTATAGGGGTAAACCTTCCCATCATTTTTTTGCCAAAAAACTGAACTAGTTTGCTATAATCTAATACACTAATTAATTAGTGTTGCGGTGTTTTCTCTTTATTTTTTTGTTTTCAATAGTTGGTTTTGTACCCCCCCTCCCCTGAGGCATTAGTTTAGTCCTTTTTGTCAGTCCTACCTCATACTTAGCCCTTGTTCCAGAGAGTTCCCTGTCATTTATGTACCCCCCACTGCCCCATTGACTGTTCCCCTCCCCTGGAACTTCCTATTGGTTTAAACATGGTAATCCCTGCCTTATGTTCGTCCCCTGCTACTGTGTTATTGGTTCCTAGTCCCAAACTCCACCCTGGTCCTGTCCCTTAAAACTCACTGCCCTGCCTGTGTCGTGGTCCTTGCCTCTGCTGTATACTTGACTTACAGACGGTTTTAGTTTCACCCTTTTGGCCTAATAAACAATCCTGGGATAAGCAAGCAAGGCCCATCTCATCATTCCGCGGGAGTTGTGAACCCTTCTGTCACTAACACCAAATGTGCTGCTGAGTGCTGTGTAAATTAGTTACACAGGCATTTCCCTCTTTTTGTCACAAGATGCTACATACACTTCTTCACCTTGACTTCACACATGGAGACACAGTCACTGAGCAAGAAGAGGTACTAAAATACTTAAAACTTTGTAGCTCATGGCCAAAATCTTGAAAAATACCATCTACCAACAAGAAAACAAATATGAAAACCACATAAACAAAATTCTGTTTTCCTATCACCCTATCATTAAAGTTCTCACATTACCTAGCCCACAAGTGGATCGATTTATAAAAGCAGACTGGAATGTACTGTATTAGCTTAGTAACAAAAATGAGCCTTCTACAAGGCAAAGTATGAAGTCTCAACTAACCAAATCAGGTCAAAAGATGGACACAAGACCATTAATTTTTTCATGGCGACCGTACTATAAAAGTTTCACAATAATCCCTGCCACAGTAAATGCACACAGGATGAACAGCTACAATATGAACAAATTGGGGAAAATGCCGTATTTGCAACAGGCTTCCACAGGATGCACCAGTTTTAGGCAACTTTTTTGAGTTCACACTTGTACCATAGAGCTATAAAGGATTTTCAAGACATAGCTACATAAAATATTTAACCACCTACCAGCATTAACGATGGCATCAACCTCAAGCAGCGTAATGTCACCTCTATAGAGAGAAACTTTCTCACTCAGACTTTTCTTCCCTTGCAGATCTTCTTTAGCATTTTCACCTACAAACCAAGAAAGCAGAAAAATCAGGTTATAAGTGTGGGTCCGAGGTCATTATTTACAAGCCCTAAACAGGCAGCAGTACAGTGACACTACCGCTGTCAGACTGCAGCATCTTTTGGTTTCACCTCGAGAGGGCACCAGTAACCCACAGGACACCAGCACTGCCCTAACAGCAGGCTGCTTGCTTTTTACTTGTTTCTAAATAGAAGCTAGTAGGAAGCACTGAATCCGTATCCACATACCGTTTGTTACAAAACTGTAGAAACATACATATTTTTTGAGTGAGATCCATCAAGTAATTTTATTTGGTAATCACAAGGGTGTAAATTGCAAAAACAAATTGAGGCATTAAGATTGTTCTCCTAGCCAGAGTAATAATTTCTCCAATCCAGAATTATACCAAAGGAGTACAAAAATACAGAAGCACACCATCTGCCAACAGCTCCAAAATTCAGAATGACTTCTAAAGACATGTAGCCAGACAACAAGCCTGGAAAAAAAATCCATGCAAATTTTAAACTTGGAGCTTTGTCACCTTAAACTGCTCAACTAGGATGAGGCAGGTGGTGAAGACAACATAACAGATTTGTTACTAAATAATGTTACCATAGGCCCCTTACTCCTTTAAACTCTTTGAGATTTTGCATCACCAAATTGCTTCATTTATATTCAATTCACTCTATAGAACAGCTCAGTTACCTCAAACCCTTGCACAAACATACTGCCCAAAGCTTCAAGTTAGACATGCACATCACCAGAAATGAACTGAGGAGGGAAGATTATGAAATTCACTTTTACTACTACTTTTTTTAAATTCGTTCTAACACAAGTCTCAAGAAGCCTGACTTCATCTATTTGTCTCAAATCTTCAAAATATGTAAAGCTTGTTGATAAGCAGAAAATCTTCAATATTTAGTGAGACAGTAGAAGCCGTCCAAACAAATTTGTCCCTCTAGTCTTACCCTCCATTTCCATCAACTCAAGAATACCAACTTGGACATGTCAACATTTCATTCCTGAGCACCAGAGAGCACATCCCCAGGCTCCCAAGTCCTGTCCCACAGTGACAAGACAGAGGAGCAGGCTGAGACAGCCACATGCTCAGACCCTCTGGCCTGGCCTTGCTTTGACATTGCCAGCCTCTGGCTGCCAGGCAACAGCCTTGGGACATCGCAGCTGATGCCACCACCTCGCCCGGAGCCCGTGGGCACTGCTCAGCTCAGGGCCAGGGATCGCAGCTGCTCGGGCAGCTTTGCCATGCCCCGCCCGGGGCTCTCGCTGCTCCTGGGGCTCTGCGTGGCCTCGCTGCTTGCCAGCACGCCCAGAGCTCACAGCCGGCCCGGCAGGAGCTCGGCCCGGCTGCCTGTGCCAGCCCAGGACGTGCGGCAGCCGGACACCGGCACGGGCAGCGCCAGCCTGCGCCCCGTGCAGCCGCGCTGCTGCGCCTTCTTAGCCTGTCCCTGCTGCTCGCCGCGCCTTGCCTCGGCTGCAGCCTCCGGAGAAAAGCCGAGGGGCGGCAGAGAGAGGCGAGGGATGGGGACCAGGCAGGTGGGACGGTGCCAGGGGACGGCAGCTATGAGGTGTAGGGTGAGGAGCGCCGGCCCCTGCGGAGAGGAAAGCTGGGCAGGCACCAAGGCTCCTCTGCTGACGCGCCTATCCCTCGCAGCCCCCAAATCACCAGGCTAGCCCAGATATACAGGGGCTGTGAGGGAAGGCGGGTCAGGAGTTGGGCAAAGATTCCCCAAAGAGGCTCAGATTCCCCGATGTGGTTGTCCAAGCTGTTTTATTCCATGGGATGAAGGGGAAAAGAGAGAGAACCAGGAAAGGACAGGGCTTTACCTAGGATCAGGACAGGGAGGGCTCTTTGGCTCTCCTCCAGCCCCGTTGGAGCAGGAAGGAGGGGACCATGCTGTCACATCCCGGTCACAGGTGTCCCTGGCAAGGGAAAAGCATAGCCCGAGAGCAACGCGACACTCTGCCGCTTCCCCAGCCCCGTGCCCGAGTCCAGAAGCAGAGGTGGGGCTCAGCCCCCTTCCTCCCAGGAGGAAACAAGTGCTTCCTGCCCTGTGTCTCCCAGGAGAAGGCCTGGACACACTCAGCCTGGCCAAGGAGCTGCTGCCTGGCTGCCTGCTCCCCCCTCCATGACGAGGTGATCGGCCGCCAGAAGGAAAACTCTGCCTCCATCAAGAGCTTCCTGAGGCACCTGCGCCAACGCTGCCTGCGGGAGGACGGGCTCCAGAGAGGAAGGAGCGAGAAAGTGTGGAAGGACTTAGACGAGGAGGCAGCACTTTTCTCCGATTGAGAAAACAACCCCTGCTAGGCAAATGGAGCAATATACTGCAAGATTACTCATACAGCTTTGTATTATTATTAAAATGACTTATTAAATAAGATAGCTTTTATTTCTGTTTTAACTTTAGTCTTGCAAACGAGTTGATTGTTACTCTTAGGAGAAAGCTAAGTCAATGGCCACTAAATCATCTCTGCACACATACTCACAAAAGATGGAGATTATCCTGGTACATCCCTTCCAAAATGTGGGGGTTTAGGCTATTACTGACAATACACAAAAATGGCAACACTGCTTTTGGTCCTCCTCTTGTCTCCTCTGCCCCAGCAATACATTTCAGCTGAAAGTCTTCACCAGAAACAGTTGAACATTCATGTCCAATCTGAACTTTTTTCCCTCTAGATCCAGCCATCATTTGCTACCCCTCTGCTTATACAATCCAATTTCATTTCGCTCTTCCTCCTACATGATCCTTTGGTCCTTCAATCATGTTCAAAACATCTGAGAGTCCACAGAGCCACAGCTTGAAGTAGGATGAGGTGGATTACCTGAGCTCTTCACACCAAATAGAGAAAATAGGCAGTCCTAGCCCTCAGTTTTGTTTACAACTCCTTCCAGATCAGTTGTAAGGAAAAAGGCCTTTACAGCTTACACAAGGGTAGAAAAATGCATTAGATTGAGTCTGCAAAAACCGCACTTAAAAACAAAACGGGTAAAGTTCACCTGAACCAAGTGATTAAGGGACTGTCAGAACATCTCACTAGAGGGAGCCCCCACCCAGGACATAAATGTACTCAGCTGGTGCAATGAACAAGTATGGCACAAACCTACAGTATTGGAAAATCAGCCCTGAAACTCAATCACTGCTCAAATAGCTGGAGTTTTAAAGTCTAATATACTTTAAAGTATATTAATTTTTTACACAGGTCTCAAGCATCCAATTACAAAATCCCTAAAGCAATACCAAAGAGCTTACCACTAGAGGGAAGAGAAAAACCTACCGCTTGAAAAGTTTATTACAAAAAAACACTACATTTGCACTTTAAATTAATGTTAAAGAAAGATTAGAGCACTCACGAAGTAGTAAAAATAGGTACCAAAGCCCCCTAGTATAAAGCAATACTTATGGCAAAGCAAAAATCTCTTGGCAGTCTATGAGCAAAGGCTGATAAAAGAAATCAAAGAGAGAACAAGTGAGGATTGATGGCAGCGAGGTTCTCAGACACACACTCTTATAAGGGGAGTTTGTTAAACAAGTAACATGACACATTTCTCTTCAAGTTCATAAAAACAAGTAGCAGACTGGATTGCAAGTAAAAAAAAAGATGAAAATAGCAGAGTTCCATCATTTCTAGTCAGCTTTAGAATCCACAGCTTAAAGAAGCAAATTAATTCCAAATTCAACAGAAATAAGTCTGCCCACTGCTACAATAAGTCACCCCTGCTACAATAGCTACTAGTAGAGATGTATCCCCACAGGGAAGGCTTCTCTAAGAGAATCTGGAAAAAGAATCTGAGCAAGGGACAAGAATGACATTATCCCCAGACAAGAGGCAGCCCTTCCACTCCTGGAAGAATCCTCAACAAATACTTGACTGGGACAGTAAGCCACTTTTCTTGGGTTGCTGAAAACACAAAGGAGATAAGCGAGCTTTAGAGGAGGGCATCTGACCCTGGCAGAACGTACAGCAGCAATTCTGCTACATATTGTGCTTTTTCCCTTCAGTGCCTATTTTTTCTTTTTTACTTCAGCCTTTGTTTCCACAAGTTTCCTGTACAAACTACAAATGATGAACTATTAGCAATTACTAATATCACATCTAACACAATTTCCATTCCATTTGTTTCTGCATAGGCTTATGGATCATTAAAAAAGACAGATTGTAAGACCTGTAATATTATGTGTCTTCTACTCCTACTAAGTGTGGATGATTGTATAGGAAAGGCAATTGCTTATCTAAATCAAGATAAGCATTATTTCCATATGTTCCATCACCAGGGGAAAAGCATTCACAGATGCACTGCGCTACTTCAAATTTGTAGTACAGATTTGCTCTATCACTTCTTGGACTTAAACAAGATCAGAACCTGAGCACAAGGAAGAAACATCTGTTGCAAACAAATCACTTTCTACCCAGACAAAAATGCACACAACATGCAAGTCAAAAGCACTTGATGATGAACACCAACACCTTCTCCCTGGTTGCACACTCTGCCAATATGGTCTGTTTCAGCTAATTTCCAAGTGGCATAATTGGATTAGCTGAGGACGACAGCCAAGCAGCAAACTCGGGAGGCAAGCAGACACCATGAATCACAGAATGGATGTGGTTGGGTGGCACCTCTGGTGATCAAGTCACCCACAGCAAGTTATCCAGGACCCTGTCCCAGTTGAATTTAAAGTATCTCCAAAGACAGAGATTCCACAACCTCTCCAAGTAACCAGTTCCAGTGTTCAGCCACCCTAACAGTATGTGTGTAGCTTTGTTTTTTAATGCTCAGAAAGAATTTCCTCTTTCAGCTTGTGCCTACTACCTCTTGTCCTGTCACTGTGTACCACAGAGATGAGTCTGGAGAGATCTCTTTTACACCCTCCACTTTATGTTTATAAACACTGATCAGATCCCATCTGGGGTATCTCTTCTTCAGTTTAAACTTCAGCTCTCTCACTCTTTCCAGGCACAGGGGATGCTCCAGCCCCATTATAAT